CAAAGTCAAGACAGAATTACTTGAAGAAGTAGAAAATGTTATCGAGTCCACACGTCGGGAAAAGAATCTTGTAAATAGTCATCTATCTACCAAAAAAATACGTAAGTGTTACTGACGTTCATTGAAACTGTAAAACGCGTAAAAATTATTATACTTACATCCAATTTTGTATACGAAACTATTGTGATTCGCAAAAAAAAGACTGACTAACAGAATGATTAACAGAAAGAGACCAGAATGACCAGAATAACTTTAACATCTTTAGTAGGCAGGTAGAAAGAGTAAAACCGAATCGAAAAGTTCGGAACCATTGTTTTCTATTACATATAATAAAGGAGTACTTTTTTAAGAAATCAAGCCAATCAGCGTCGACCTTTAGCACGTCAGTGAGCGAGGAGCGCTTACGCACACCAGACGCGTAGTTCACTAAAGTGCGTTTGGTTAAAGGTCGGCGCTGATTGGCTTAATTTATTCAATTATTACTTCCTTATATATTATATACAATATACTAAAAAAATTAATTTTGGATTTTTTGACTCAGTTTTACTCTTTCTACCTGACTACGAGAGATGTTAAAGTCATTCAGAAACACCTTGTATATATTTATACATAGAATATTTGTATAATAAATTTTTCTCATAATTAGCGGTAATTAGTAAAACGTATTTACAAAGTACGATTTGTAATGCGTCGCTATATACGTTGTGTATATGTGCGTATGAATGATCATGTATCATTAGTCATTTGTTTGNTTCAAATCAATCTGTAACGGCACGGCTTTAATTTTGTTACTGCTTTTTTTCGCATACTGACAGAATTAATGGATGTAAGTATAATAATTTTTACGCGTTTTACAGTTTCAATGAACGTCAGTAACACTTACGTATTTTTTTGGTAGATAGATGACTATTTACAAGATTCTTTTCCCGACGTGTGGACTCGATAACATTTTCTACTTNTTCAAGTAATTCTGTCTCGACTTTGACTAACACTTCTAGTGACAGCAGAAATGTTGCTACTACTACCGTTTCATCTTTGGCTAATATTTCCGGTGGTAGCAAAAATGTTGCTTCTTCACTTTCTACATCTCGTGGCGTTGTTACATCGTTATATATTCGTTCTGTTATGATACCAGCAGTAACTGTCACACAAATGTCTACAATTTCGTCTGAAGTACTAATATATACTACTTCTTCTATATATTCTACTGCATCCATGTCTCGAATATCTTTACGCTTGTGTAATGTTTCCGGTAAGCACATAGGTACAAAAACACACACACAATAAAGTATATTTATAAAGTTATTATTTTAGTTGTTACACACACAAATATGTTATATCTATAAAAATTAGTATTTCACTTGTTATATATATATATATATATATATTAGGTTGTCAAGTATGAAATGGAGCAAACTTCATATCCTTGATTTCAATCGCGTATAACTTCACTTTGGTGCAATCTTTTGATAGAAACTTGTTCTTGTTTAAAAGGTACATTATTCCTCTTTCATAATCTCTTTTA